GTAGCAAAATGTTGTCATTTCGCCTCTCTCCCTGAATTTCTCGCTTGCCACTCTCGTTTCTCGCTGGGCAGTCTCTCATCGCCTCTCTCACTTTATACAAATACAAATGTATAAAATGTGTTTGTGTTTGTATAAAGCGAGAGAAAATTGTATATATACATATCTTTTCGTTCCCCTCTCCCCCCTCTCACTCGCTACTCTCCTAGATCTCGCTCACCACTCTCACTCGCCTCTCTCACTTTATACAAACACAAATATATAAATTGTGTTTGTGTTTGTATAAAGCGAGAGAAAATTGTATGTACAAATACAAATACATATATTTTCGTCCAATATACTTATGATTATACAAATACAGATCTTTCCCTGCCCAATTTTCTTTTGTCTTTCTCTCTTTCTCGCTTTATGCAAACACATATTATACAATTGATTCTTTTGTATATGTATACCGAAACAGATTATATAATTGCTTCTTTTGTATATGTATAGCGAAATATACATATTAATAGCCATAACAAACATACGCGATGTTTGCTATGGAGCACAATTATGCAAACTATAGCTATAGCATACAAACATGAATTTTATGTTTGCTATATATGAGAATTGCTCTTAATTAAAAGGGGGAAACATCACCAAACTATAGGAATGATATTCACATAACATCACTTTTGTTATAATTACACAAACATACACGATGTTGCTATGGAACACAATTAGCAAACTATAGCTATAACATACAAATATGATTTTTATGTTTGCTATATGTGAAAATTGTTCTTAATTAAAAGGGGCAAACATCATCAAACTATAGGAATGATATTCACATAACATCACTTTTGTTATAATTACACAAACATGATTTTAGAAAAAAAAATTAAGTACACCATCATACGCGAGCATTTTCATCCATCTAAAAGGATCTTCCACGCCTCAAAATACATGTGGTGGCTATATATACGCCTTTTGTGTATGAAAAGGTTGAGCTTCTTCAGTGGAACACCTCAAAGTACATGTGGTGACTATACATAAGTTTCGACTAATCCTAACAATTGAATATGTATATCCATATTGGAGATTAACATATCATTGGAACTTGTTGAAGAATTTGAAGAAATAGAACACCTTTCTCTTTCTTTTCTTTTCTTAATTTTACTACATGAACTATCAACAACTATTCATCATTAAAAAAAACACACTTCAAATACCAATTGTCCTACTGGAAAACCTCAAATATCAATTGTCCTACTGGAAAGATGGTGATATTTCAGGTAGGAAATCGACAAACCTGATAGTTAAAGTGTGTTTTGACAAATAGTTGGTAATAGTTTTGGTAGAAAATTCGCACGCCTGATAATTGAAGTTCTGCAACTCGATAAATTGAGATACTTTAGGTATATTTTTTAAATCAATAACTCTATATCAAATAAATTGTAGAATAATTGTACAAAAAGCAACAAAGATTGTACTTTTAAAGTAGCAATAATGTAAAGTGCACTACCTGTTACTAAATAATCTATTTTTTTTAAAAAAATTTCACACCATAACTAATGAAATCCTAATAGAAAGTTGTATATACCAAATCGTTAAACAAGCATCTTTACACTACTTGAAAATTTTAAAATTATTTCCGCTTTATCTAACGTACTTTCAAGCTTTATTCTTATTTAAAAAATTCTTAAGACATCTCAAATTTATTTTTGGAGAGTTAAGTTGTGGGTGAGATAGGATAAAATAAAAAATAAAGTAAAAGAAATTTATAGTTATATTAAACTAAAATGCAGAAAAGTAACAGAGTACAAACCAAAGAGAAAGAAAAAGGGGAAAATGAAGAATCTATATATAATTGGGATAATGATCTGAAAAATATCTCAATTTTGGTCGGATTTGTTGTTGCAATACTAAACTTTCATAAGGACCTATTACCTCCCTAGACTATTTAATACCGTATTTTTTACCCCCTGAACTATTTAATAGTGTATTTTAAAGTGTATTTTACCACGTGGACATTATTATTTATAATTTTGCATTATTTTTTATGGCCACGTGGACAAATATATATGTTTAAAATATGGTATTAAATAGTCTAGGGAGGTAATAGGTCCTCATGAAAGTTTAGTATCGCAACAACAAATTTGACCAAAGTTGGGATATTTTTCAGGCCATTATCCCTATATAATATAAAGCCAAATGTAGACAAGATGATGTGACACCTCTCTAAGGCAACCATTGTTATTTATCTTTCTTTTTTTTAAAATCTTTTTTTGACATTTTCTCTATTTTTTCTTCTTATTTTTTAGTTTAAAAATTAACTATAACCTATCCTATTTATGAGGTTTCATTAATTTTTTTTAACAATCATATTAATTCATTGTCATTAAGTTACTACATTGATTTTATTAATTATAATGTATCGGTTGAAGAAGTGAAAAGCCACTCCATGTCTTCTCCTTTCTTAATCCATTTTAATTACTCTTTTTAAAATTTTCATATTTTATTTTATATTTTTAATATATATACACTAAAGTTGGAAAAAAAGTAAATACTAATTTAGGTCAAGAAATTTTCAATTCATTTTACCTTCTTCTGATTATAAACGAATACTAATATTTTGTTTATATTTTATTTATATATATATAAAATATAAATTTAATGTATTTATAAGGAGTAACTACTCATAATTCATAACTCTTCAATTCTACTCTTAATAATATTTATAACTCTTCAATTTCTACTCTTAATAATATCTATAACTCCCACAATTTTTATGTTCATAACCCCCAACCTTTAATTTGTAATGCCTTATTGTATTCCCTTATTTTTTTCTATATAAACTCATGTTTTGTTCATGAATACTCCCAAAGTTAGTCTTTCTTTTCTTCATCACGTTTGAGTTGTATTTTATAACTTGTAACACAAAAGGAATATATGAAGATAAGAAATATTTCATCTCAAGTCTATCTTTTCATTTTTATGTAGTTAATTATGCTTTCATAATTAAATGTGTTTTTTACGTATTCGTTATACTTCTCCAAGCAAGTATATATACATGATCGATAAAGAAATTTTTTATGACAATGATATTGAGGTAATTTTGATAGTAGTAGAAATATTTTAAATGCATTATTTCTGTATGGTTGGTCGAAAAGTTAATCTTATTTAACAATTACATAGTTGAGTTTGATTATAATATTTGTTAGATTTCAAGTAATCATGAATTTTAATTGTTAGTACACTCATTATTTTTTTGCAAATGTATTGTATAGTATATATTTCTTTTTTCTCTTTTCATATAATTATTTTTGAATTGGTATAATTGAAATAAAAATATTATAAATATCATACATATTATGGTATCATATCAACAATCATACATACATTTTTTGTGTAAATTAATTAGTAGCATATGACAAGGGCTTTGGCACAGTTTCAGGGAGCGGAACATGATGATGGATCTACTTATAAAGGAAGGCCTAGAAAACTTTTTGAGGCATATATAGAAATTATTTTTGCTAAAAAATTTCTTACTTTTAACTTGTAATAGTAGTTTTGTTACACCTATTGATAATGTTATTTAAAAACTTTTGTTTCAAAAAAGAAATAAATGTCTACATAGAAGATTGTAGTTTACAAAAGATAGAGAAAATTTAAAAAGAAAATATATCTTCAATTCAATACAGTAGATTATTGTTTCAAAATTAACCTCTTATATTCTATTTATCTTGCCACGTATATATCTGTTTTTGTTTAACAAATAATATTGTACATATTGAAGAAAAATGAAAAAAAAACTATATACTATATTCAGGATGAAAACAAATATCTATATTATCTTCATTGCCTAATATGAATGTATATAAATATTACATACCACTTCATTTTAAAATAAGAAACTATCATATATATATTTATATATATAAGAATTTCACTAGTATAAAAAGAAAAAGAAAAATGGATACAGAGAGGGAGAAAATGGAGAAATTGAGGAAAAAATCAAAAAAAATAATTATAAATTGGAAAAGGGAGGTGCATATGGGCTGTTGTACGGGTAGAAACACACGTGTAGTAGATGTGTTTATTTTTTAATGGGCCAAGATTAGTTTTATAGTACTATTTGCAATTCAATTTGTACAACTTATTTTTAATGGGCCAAGATTAGTTTTTGAAAAAATTACAAAAATCCCACATTTTAGTTTACTTATTACCATTATTCCCTATAAGTTTTACAAATCTCCAAAATCTCTCATTTTCGTGCATCAGATTAGTGTATCAACACTTATATTATTGTATCTCGCGCATCAAATTAAAGTATCAGTGCTTATATTATTGTATCTCGCGCATCAGATTAATGTATCAGCGCTTATATTATTGTATCTCGCGCATCAGATTAATGTATCAGATCTTATATTATTGTATCCGTTTGAGAAATTTCTGTAATTATAAACTTCTAAGAGATAGATTGTAATTTTGCCTCAAGTATGTGATTTCTATAATTTGCCCTTAGTTTTATAGTACTATTTGCAATTCAATTTGTACAACTTTTTAATGCAGTCTTAGTCCAACAAAGTGTCATTTATTTATAATAAAAAAAAATAAGGGTAAAGTAATTAGCAGCATCAAGGTTTAAGAAACCAAAACTCTGCACACAATGTTTAAACCCCAAAACTCTCCTAACCGCGAAGTGATGCGCGAGGGACAGCAGGTAAGCCTAGCTCATCAGCCTGTGCATCACAAGTCGATAAAAGGTATCAAAGTTAGTTATATGTTAAACGAAGAAATACGAATATGACAGTATTAGAAAGCACTGCGAGAGAGATTTGGGACCGAGATGTTATATTTGAGCCCTGCACCATGCAGACTACACCTGGTATTTAAGTGGAGAAGGGCAGGTTGGTCCTAACGGCGAGACCCCGGACAGATTCTCAGTCATCAAAATAAAAGATATGTAAAATACATATAATAATTAACTATCCCTTGTATATGTAGAAAAACTACATGTTTAACAGAAAAGAGGTCGATTAGTTTTCAGGTCTAATTGACGATACCTGCGCATTAGCTCTACCAGCTGGCATTGATGCGTGTCCCATTGGTGCTGATGGCATGTTAAGCTCTGATTCGAGATCTGGTTCCTTGTCAGGTTGTAGGTATGAAGGGACACCTTCTTCAAATTCCATGTCCGCTTCCAGAGCATCAAGCTCTGATAAAGAAGTAAGGTTAAATGCACATCAAACATGTTTTCACTAGATATTCAAATGAACAAGAACTAAAAATTCTTACCACCCATGAGCTCTTCTTCATCAACGTCATCAGGCACACCGTAGCTTCTACCAAGAGTCTCTTGAATTTCATTGCTAACATCCATCAGGTCTGTCATTTCATCTTGTAGGTTCTATATAGCATAAGAGTATCACATCACAACATGGATAAACTTCATAACCATAGTTGTAAATAGAAAAGGAAGAGATTAAGGGAAGCTTAAAAGAAAAACTTCAATGGTAATGGAGAATACATACATCTACGTCTTGAATGCTCACAGTTTTCATCATTCCTTTTAATTCTTTGTTTGCTGACTTCATTGCTGCCATCTGAGAAACATAGTCAAGTTAATAATGGAAAATTCCACTCTAAGCAAATGAAACCCATTGCTCAAATGTGCCTTCAACACAAACATTTGAACTAAGATGGAAGCAATTGGAGAATAAGAAACTCTAGGGGACACAAATAGAAATCCCTTCTTCATGACAATTTGGTTGTCCTCCTACCTCTAGGGAGGTAGGCAGCAGGTTCCCATCAGGTTACCGAATACGCTTCGCTTGACAAGCCTTGAGCTGTGCCCAATGGAGCGCTACCAAGAAAAAGACACACTTCACCATGAATTTGATATAACCAAAAATGTCTGATAAGCGCAGAAACTCCTAAGCTCAATATCAAAGTGCTGGATGATGGCCAGGAAATAGTATAAGATCTATTTTTCTCCTTCCAAAAATAGAATTCAGTCAAACTTTAGAGGAAAGGCAACTTATTTCAAGGAGCATGCACTATTTTTGAAAAAATGATGCTGCATGATATAACAAGAATGTCATAGATGAACTTCAAGCACAAAAAGTTTTTAGACTCGTGGATCTGTGGAATGTCAAAACCGACCGTGGTCAAGTTCTACGTTAGGGGGATCGCAGATAAGAATTACCCATTCAAGCAGTTGATTAACGATTCCACAAATAAGACAACATTTTTTTATTGTGAGAAAAGGTAACTCGTGCAAAAGAATGGATTCCATTTAACATTTAACATACTGTTTGCTGAGCATCTTTGATCCCCTCAGCAGCAAATGAGACTTGGTCTAAGTTGTATGTCTGATTGTAGAGCATGTCCCGCTGGCCTTCATACCTGTTGATTATTCATCGGATAACTTATGCATTTGTCAGAGCAATATGTTAATACATGACCTAAGACTATAAAACAAGCAAAAGAAGAAAGAGAAATATACTAAATAGTGTTTGAGAATGTAATTTCTACCTCAAACAAGAAAGTGAAAAATAATAGCCCATCTAAGTATAAGAGTGCACCAAAGGTAAGGATTACTGGTCAATGAAGTTGGCGCAAAGACTACAAACACTAGGTGATTTCTTTCTATCCCCTAAGTCTTGGGGCAGAGTTGCCTGGTACCTATGTTGGTGGGTGGTAGCAGGTACTCGGTGGAATAGTCAAGGTACGCTCAAGTTTGGCTGAACACCTCCATCATCAAAAAAGGAAAAAAAAGTGCAAAAGTATATTGTATATAGATTTAATGGCCGGCACTGCCTACTTTTGCTTCAGATATGATCACAACAATTAATCCACTGTTTCTGTTTCTCATAGCATGGTAACAACAAAGGATACCAATTATGTATCTTTTCGTGTTATTCATATGTGTGTGGGTGTGTGTATGTGCAAGAGAGAGAGAGAGAGAGAACTGTTAAATTGAGTCAATTATTTCATCTCAGAACTTAAACTAATTGACTTTCACATGTTAGTAGACACTCATCACAAGTAATTGAACTTCATAATTTGACAAGGCACTTTAAGCCTCATTAAACTCAATGTAATGGCATATAATTTAACTCACATTCTCTTTTGCTTCAGCACTCTCATAGCTCGAGCTTTTACTGCCTCCTGCGCTGGACCTGGTCGAGTCTTCTTTAGCTGTTCCTTGTACCTTGCAAGTTCAGCATCAAGCTTCTTGATTTTCTCTTCCACTGACTCACCTCTTTTATTGATCTGGACCATTAAGAAGCAATCAAAAGGATCAGAGACTACTCATGCAAACAACCAATAGTAATCACCAAACTTCAGAGAGCTAAAAATAAAAAGAAATATTCCAGGTTGATCAACTGGAAACCATACAAGCAGCCATCTCTTCATATACTACAAAAGAATGTGAAGCAGACCAACAAAACAAATGAAAACAGTTTACTACCGCAATTTCCTCGTGTATTTTTGGTTCATGAAATGCTTTTAAAGAAAATAAGCATTTAAACAACAACAACATACACAACATAATCCCACAAGTGGGGTCCGGGGAGAGTAGGATGTCGCAAAATAAGTATTTGCTTTGCCTTAATACTAATCGAGTAACCATTTAGACACATGTAATATGATTTGATCATAAGAAGCATGTTTGCATATCTAAAGGTATAAGGATTTGCCTCAATTTGCTTTGCACTAATACTATTTTTGAAGTCTAGCAATCTGTCTCTGAGTACTATTTTTTTCAACATTTTCCGTAACAATCCTACTTTTTATCTAGTATCTAAATTATTGATAAAAATTAAAATATATTACGGATCACAAATGTTCAAATTTACACAGAAAAATGGATGCATTGATCATTCAAGCTCAAGTTTACATATTGAGCGCATAACAAGGACTTCCCATGACAGCAGAGGTAAACAGAGTAATAGAACCAATGGGTTCAACTGGACTAGTATTTTCAACACGAGGTTAAATAAATATGTGAAAAATCACTACAACTTCACACATTAAAGTCTGAACCCATAACTCAAAACACATATCTAGATTCACTTTTGTATGACCTCAGTCCTACTACTACTTCTATCAATCAATCTCACTTAAGTTCAGAATTTTGATGGAAGTATATAACCAATAGGCTCAATTGAACCAACATTTCCACACGGAATATAGATGTGCCTGAAAAATTCACTAATATTTTACAAAAATTAAATTCTGAACCCTTAATTTCAAAAGTGTAATAAGTTCAGAGCTAAAATCCTAGATTAACTTCTGCATAAAATCCTAGATTAACTTCTGCATAACACACATCCTCCTCCTCCTCCTCCTCCTAACTAACACTATCAATCGAGCTCATTTAACTTCATTATCCTGATGCAATCTGATATACTAGTACTGGTATAATCATCCTCCGAACCCACCATTCCTTTAAGGACAGAGGGAGTTTAATTGATAGAAAACTGCAGAAAACATGAAATTTTACCTCATCGGAACAGCCATACAAAAAAAACGAATAGAAATTGCAGTTCTATGCATAGCTTAGCAGAAAACATTGAAAAAAAATACCCAGTTCAAACAGTACCAAAATTCCAACAGATATGGTAGTGTCCGTGCATAATTTAACAGAAAACATTTCAAAAATTCTAGTTCAAAGCAGCTACACAACACATTGGAACTAAACAAACAAACAAAAACCCAAAAAAAAACGAAGAGAATTGCAATTTGTTTGCATAATTTAGCAGTATCTAAACTACAGATCTAGTTTGTTGGAAAAAAAAAAATTTACCCTATCGGAAGCATCTTGAACAGATGGAGCAGGTTGTGTTTCCTTCTTAATGCCGAAAACTCTCTTCATCTCCTCAATCTTCTTCTTCGTCGGTCACAAAATTCTAGGGTTTCTGGTTCAATCGGAGTTCAATTTGGTACACTTTTCTAACAAATGATCCGTTGTGTTTTGTCTCGAAAAAGTTAAATATGCTAGTGAAACTTTTTCAGTTTCCACCCATAAAAATAATATATATTTTTTGAAATAAGTTAAAAATACATTTGAATTTACACTTTTTTATTTAAACTATCATCGATTATTTTTTAAAGGGAAAATGACAAATATATTTCGAATTATCGTAAATGGTATGCAGATATCCTCCGTCATACTTTTGGGACATTCTACCGTCCAAAAATTAGAGCACATATATATGCCCTTCACTCTAACGAAAGACTAAATAGGGACGCGTGACACAATCTAATCCGTCGATCCAATATTTAATAAATGTTGGGTCGGTGGATAAGATTATGACACGTGTATGCCCGTTAGTATAAAAGGTATATATGCTCTAGTTTTTAGACGACGGGGCACCAATATCCTAAAAAAATGACGGAGGGTATCTGCAAACTATTTACAAAAGTTTGAGAGTATATTTATCATTTTTCCCTTTATTAAATCACGCAATAAAATTGAATAGACCAAGTGTTTAGATATAATCACCAAAAGGGGTGTGATAATGTCCATGAGGCGGCTAACTCATTAATTTCGAGATATATTTTGATAAATAGTTAATAATAGCTCCGGTTGAAAATGCAACCACATGATAGTTTCAAATAGAAAACTCGTAAAAAGATATTTCAAGTGTTTCTTTTCTCTTACCACTATCTCTTCTTCTTTATTTATTGTTTTTTTAAAAAAATCTGATTAATATATTTGGAGTGCCATTTGGCACCATTTATAACAAAAAAAATGAGAGTGCATACCACGCACCATCAGATACTAGTGATACTTCATGTTTTTTTTTTTAAAAAACCAGTATCTCTATTTTATTCCTTTGCTTTTCACCGATTTGATATTTGCTTTGAGGTTCAATTATTCAAATTCGCCCTCGAAATTCTCTCTTTAGAGAAAGACGACTAAGAACGAATTTGAGATTTTTAGTATTAAAATCCACAAGATGTGCGAACAATATTAAACTCGTACCCAAAATTATATATTTATGAGGGGGAAAGAACCACTTAAGATTAATATGACCCCAGCGCAAGAATGACACACACAAATCGAGAAATGGTCCAAATTCTTAAAAATACTTTAACTAAATATATTCCTTTTGAAGTAAACTGAAAAAAGAAAGTAAAGACACGTGAATTGAAAAGGAGTAATTCGATACAAGCATTTCCTCATGTAACACATTTTTTTACACAAGAAGCAGAAGAATTATGTACAAGAAACACATAAAGAGAAGAAGAAGGTCCATCTAACTGAATATGAAATATTATGAACAAACTATGTTTACAGGGGAACTAGCTAAAGAACACATGTTTATTGAAGTTCAGATAGCAAACCAAGTTGTTTTCGAGTCCTCCCAACGAATAAATCTCCAGATTTTATCATCCCTGGAAGGCGTCCAATACACGATAAACAGTAAAACTGTGCTACAGCTTCTTTTTTTCCTAGAGCGATTAACGACAATGGTAAAGCAGGTTTATATACATTCAAGTTGTTGTCGTTAGCGTTCTTCATTAACAATCTTATGTTCTTGGCAGCTATCCCCGCGTGTCTTTGTGCCAAATATCCTAGTTTAAGTTCCTGCATTTTCAACGATACTAAGTAAGAACGTCTTGTGATGAAATGTACAAACATGATATATAAGAACAAATGCAAGTCATTGGCATTTTAAGTTGTTTACTCGTAGTAAACCACCAGGACCTTCACAAGATAGGGGTAAGACTACGTACATACCACCCTCGTGGGATAACATTGGATATGCATACATGGTGGATCTTGGACCAATGGTTTTTCTGATCCATTTCGTGAGTGTACATGTTTAAACAAAGGTATGTGTAAGGGAAAAAAGCTGAAGTCTTTTGCCTGGTGAGTTGGATCCTCCAAAAGCTATGCATTTTCGGAGGATCTGACACAGGTGTGGTAGCATATTTGGAGGTCCGAGCAACATAGGTCTTCTGCATAATGCAGAATAGCATCAGGGTCTTAACGAGTGAGGTTTCTAGAGTTTAGTCAGCTTTTTAACGAGTGAGGTCTCCGAGGCAGTAAGGGACATGAAATTTCAGTTTCCTTATCATAATATACAACAACAACAACATACCCCTACCTCGTGGAGGTAGAGAGGTTGTTTAATTTCCAAAGGTCCTCGACTCAAGTGCAGCAGATCAACGTAGTTATGAAAAGGAAAAGCAACAGTGAAGAAAACATAACAACTAACAATGAAAGCAGTGCAGAGCATTCAGAAAAGGAACAGTAACAACAACAAAATAGTGCGATAACTGAAAACACAACAAACAACAGATGATGGTAGATATCAAAAGCGAGAAACTACAAGAATAAGACTAATACTACAACAACCACCACCAAGACTAAACCACGTTAACAAGATCTAATCGTTCAAATATGAGTTTTCAAAACCAAAAGGTACTAGAGATAGTTTGAAGAGTACTCACAGGGATATCAGTAATATCTCCGATACCAAAGACATTGCTTCGACCCTTGACCTTCAAATCAGAATCAACCATCAACCTTCCATGAATATCCAAACTACCTTTCAAGACTGTTTCTTTTAGCCACCCTGAGCCTATCGGCTTTCCAATGCAAATGAAATGGCATTCAGCATCTATAGTTTGTCCACCAGATGTTTTGTAAACACCGTCTTTTGCAGAATTTACATCGACAGATTGCCCCAATATGATCTCAACCTTCCTTGATTTTAGCCAATGCACTACCTTATTGCTAGCACTTTCTCCGATAAATTCCAACAACATTGATCCCCTATGCACAATCGTCACCTTCTTATCGGGATAATCCACAGCAATTTCAGCAGCCAGTTCCACGCCTGTTTGTCCTCCCCCGATTATTAATATGGAGCTGGCAGATTTAATCTTTTGATGATCTGTAAACCAATAAAAATGAGTAGAAATGAAGCTATTGATGAGTATGGTTACTCTGTCCTCCACAACTAGAACAAATGGAAAGAAATCATCTACTGTTTTTTTGTCTCTATTGATATCTGTCCACCGGAGAAAGTGTATAATTTCACTAGTAAAGTCCCTCGGGAAGGTATACAACAACTACAACTCAACCACAAACTATTTGAGGTTGACCTATGAAATTAGTTCCATCGCTAGCAAAGGTTTTAAAAAATAAAAGATTATAATGCAAACTACGATTTTATCGATTGATCCATGATGTTACCTGTTTGGTATTGAGAAAACTTCTCATCTTTCGTGTAAGCACCAGTTTCCGAGTGACCAGTAGCAATAACAGCAAAATCATACGCAACTTTGTCGCCTTTTGCAGTTACTACCTCTGTATCCGTGATGTTAGCAGCAGCAGATGTAATGACATTTCCATGGGGAAGGTATTCGGAGTGACTAAAGACGGCTCGTTGTGCAAATGAAGGATCACACATTGACCTTAATGCAGCCCAAGGAATCTCAAAATACTCTTTCCTGTTCATATTTTTCGTATTTCGTTGATTAAAACACACTACAAATAATAAATCCATGTAACATCTTAACGAAAACAGCCAATAAGTGCTTCCATCGCATAATTGGTTACATAATAAGCTATCCGTTAAGAAAATAGACCTTGGACCTAACTCATTCGGCGATTGCCAAAGATAGACCATATAAGGAGACAACAACATGTAACACTCCCTTCCCTAGAACCCCACGACTAGATATCTAGAGCGTGAACAACATAATATGTGAACCTTAATAGGGTAAATCAAGAATATAAATGGGTCTGACTCTGATACAACATTCAAAAATGGATATTAGGCTTAACGCAAATCCCAAAAGTTCGGTCATGAGATGATGATTATCCAATCATATATTAGAAAACAACAACAATCCATTCTCTCAATCAATGGTATCAACTACGCCTCAATCTCAAACTATCTATAATCGGCCATTTAACTAATGATAGAACGACTCAGGCTTATAGTCTAGTTGTACCCGTAGGAGCCTTTGATACAATAGGTGTAGGTTCAATTTCCACGATCCCTTCTCCCACCCCCCATGTAATGGAGAAAATAAAAAAAAGTGCTTTGAGAACCATGAGAGTCAAATTCCAGCAAAGGCAAAAACGTTATTCTCTTTGTCCCAATTTATGTGTCAGAGTTCGAATTTCGAGAGTCAAATTTCCTAACGTGAATTCAGACATAGAATCTTTCAGTTAAATAAAATAAAATTTATATATTTGAAAACTACATAAGTCAATGATGAACAATTATTCAACATACTCAAAAGATATAAAACAATCATAGTCAAAGAGAAACTCGTTTGACTCTCGAAATTCTAAAGGTGCCACATAAATAAGGACCGAATTAGGTGTAAGCGATTCCTTTTCATCCGTCCAAACCTTGATGAACAGAGTTACCCATTACCTATACTTATGAAACACAACATGTACTCGTGACATTAGTCCAGGTGCGTACAAGCTGACCCAGACACCACGATTATCAAATTTTTTATAACAAATTCATAAAATAAAAAAAACTCACTTATCAATGAGGGTAACATTGGCTTCATCTTGAAGACTCCTTGCAATAAGAGATCCAGCAACTCCACCTCCAATCACCACTACTCTTTTCTTCTCTCCCCCGGAATCCGCCATGGCTCAATTCGACAATGCAGCATAAAAAACTAAACAACACAATTCCCCTAATACCCAAATGATCTCTACATAGGTACATACAAAGAGGGAACAATCTTGAAAAAATTTCAATTTTTTTTTATGGATTTGTTCTTATGAAAACTTGTTTGTTTTAAAAAGAAAAAAAATGGTTATCGGCGATAGCTATCGCCGATAACACCACAACTGCTTTGTCCTAAAAGGGGGGACTGAAGGATTGGGAAGACGATGAATAAATAGAGTTATAATAATAATTATAATAAAGGTAAAACAAAATGTGAATGGTGAAGAGTAGAGAAAGGGAGCTCTGTTTTTTGTTTTGTTTTGTGCATGGCAGGTTTTGCTTATTTTTAGGAAAAAAAATGATTGAAAATATTACACATGAGTTTATATATATGTTAATAAGGATAAGTCTTGACTTTAAATGATGACATAATAAGTAAACGTATTCTTTAACATGGTCTCATCTGGTATCTATGCTCTCCAACAGTTAAACTTATACATTTTTTTATTACTCTATTGTGTATAACTAGGATTAAACTTTCAATACTAACTTAATCATCTCGGTTTCTCTTTGATGTCGATTAAGTTCATTTTTTAAAAATTAAAACATCATATAGGAATTGTATTGTTATATATTATGTCTCATTTGATCCTTCATTTGTATATCTATATACTCATGTTTAACGTGTGATAAGGGTGTCAAAATTTTGAGCTATTTACTACGAACGTACTTAATTCCATGCAATTGAATTGGATATTGACCATCAAATCTGTCTATAACAACGTTGTTTGTTCGGATAATTTTTGGTTCTATAGCGAAATGTCATTATAGAGATCACATATAACATAACATAACATGGAAAATTGGTTCTACAAGAACTCGTCGATTGTAACAAACAGTAATCACAAAAGAACAGTAGCCAAACTCTTCACTGATAGTATTAACTGGTGTACTTTGGCAACATAGAAATAGCACTAATACAATAGAAATTGCATAAGATAAAGTAACGGGGATAGAGAGTAGAAGGAGATGAGAAGCTTAGACTGAGAAGGAGATGAGAGGAGACACTCTTTTCTTTAACAATTTTCCATCCCCCTATTTTCCCTAGAATGGGTTACTTATTAACCTAGATCCCACACATAACTCCTTAATATGGCATTGGGCTGTTTTTGGTATAACAGGCCTCGGCCCATTCATAACATCGATCACTATAGTTAAATGTTATTAGAGAGTATGACTATTATAGAAATATCCGAGCAACATAGTCTCTATCACCAACATAGTGGAAATGAAAAGTATGAGAAAAAGTAGGCGAATAAATAGACATTCTTCCAATATTTCTAAGTACTTTTTTTGTCCACATTGACCAAAGTAGTTTACACAATTCATTGGAAAAGTAAATAAATGCGTACACTCTAGCCTTTTCAGACTTCACTTTGTGAGATTACACTGGATATATTGTCGGTTTATATGCCTTCAAAACAAGTTTGACAAATTCATTTGTTTTTTTCAAGCCAATCAAGAATGCCTTGCTCTGATTCAGTGAGTTCCTCCTTATCCTTCAAATTGCCTTCTAAGTAGCCAAAATAGTCTCTGTAATTGCGTTTGTAGTAACTATCCAATCTCTAAATAAAAGAAGAAAAAAAGGTAAAATCAATAAATAATATTCCACAAAAAAGTAAAATTAATAAATTGGAAGCTAGCCCCTAGATTTGGTCGCGCAACACGTGATATGTGAATTAGAAATTGAAGACTAGAGATGTGTGTTGATTATTCATCGAGTTTCGAACTGTATACCACTGGTCTTCAAGGATTATTGGCTATCAAAAAAATGATAATAACTTGAAACTTATACCGACGTGAAGTGCTCTACATTTAAGTAAAATCCTTTAAAAGAACAAAGAATTCATACACTATCAATATATTATAACTTGGTGTAGCAAATTATTGCTTTAGTTCCACGTCATTAATCCCATTTTTCTTACAAACAATTAGTTATCTTTTCGGTGACCTAATAGTATAAAATGTTGTTTATGTTGTCAGCGCATAAAAGTTAAAACTCGGAATATTTACCTCCTTATCATTCTTGGTCTTGTTCTCTTCTGACTTCTTGAGATATCCTATAACAAGAAGAAGAATACAAACATTAATTATTTGCAATTTTTGTGATAAAAATTAATTGTGATTGAAAAAATAATGAAATACTTCATCCATTTCAATTTGTTTGTTTTACTTTTCTATTTAGTCCATCTCTTTTGGCCATTCGTTAATTTCTACTTTCCACGTGACATATTTAATAATCACAAGATTAAATGATATTTTGGTACGTTAGATTCATACGCTCTTTTGACTTTTTTAAACTCAGTATCAAATCGGAATCAGACAAACAAATTGAATTGGAAGGTACAAAGGAAGAATGTGAAATCCAGAAAACATACTCTTAAGAAGCTCAGTTTGAGAATCATTGACTTGAACAATTGCAATAATTGTTGAAAATAGAAGCTCTCTTCTTCCTTGCCATGTTTCTTTTTTTGTTTTCACTTTAATTTCTTTGGTATTAATTGCTTGCACATAAAATCTTGAAAAAAAATATGTACAATTTCCAGCATTTAGGGCCATGGAGAAGACAAAGTTAATTATTTACTGAAATAAATTAAAAGAACATTTTAAAAGGTTGCTATAGAAGCTAAAATCTTATCTTTTTGAAATATCTACAAAATGTGTGGACCCTTATGGGAAAATGCCAACCATAAGTTTGTTTTAGGAATATTATTATATATAGCAATGTATATAGTAGGAATATTTTCTTGATTCTTGTTGATTTTTTCTTCGATGGTGATTTCTTGATCAGCTTGTGCGGTTCTCAACTACTCCATTGAGTCGATGTTTAGTAATTTTGTCCCTTGAATTAGTAGCCATACGATGATATTCTACATTACTTATTCACAAAAACTTGTATTTTTATTCTTTCATATAAAACTTTATTTTAATAATATTGATATTATTGTACAAAATTATATACTACATAATTCAACATACACGTCCTAGTAAATGAGTAATCACAAGAAGTAAAAGTTACACACTTGTAAAAGGCATGAAAAATGACCACACATAGTTTTCAACACCAATGACATTAAACTTTGATGAATCACCTTCATTGGTTCAGACGATATCCAATCATCTTGACTTCGACAAACAAGTCAGTATATGACTATTCACAAAAACTTGTACTTTATTCTGGCATTGAAATGATCAAACATGGTTTTCAACACCAATATCATAGAAAATGATATATATATACTCAAACAAGGATGCCACTTTTTCAAAGATGTGATAGAGGAATTTGTCAAAGTCAACCAACAACCTCATTAACATGAAAATGAAGAACCTTACAAACACTCTTTTTTTTCATTAAACAAAGTTTCTGGAGAACTCAATAAGATTATTATAATTTAAAGTTATTGACTTTATAATGCAATCATTTTCAATTAAGTAGTTGAAGTCTACACAAAATAATGCCTCTTTTTTCATAAGTATGTTAATACTTGACAATCTAGGATATTGTTCATCATATTGAAGTCATGAGGCTAATGAAAGTTTTCATTATATTTGCTACTCTATTTTTCCATTTTTCGATCGTTTATAGCTGCCTTGAAGGAGAAAGAGAAGCTCTAATGAGCTTCAAGTCCTTGTTGACTGATCCATCCAATCAGTTATCATCATGGAAAGATGTAAACTGTTGCAATTGGAAAGGGATCAAATGCTCGAGTGAAGGTCGTGTTGTAGTTGTGAATCTTCGGAATGTTAATCCAGATGAAGTCATAATCAATAGCAATAAGGAAGTTGTTTCAAGTTCTAACAACATATCTGATTTTGCCCTCAAAGGGACTATATCTCCTCTGCTCTTTACTCTTGATGATCTGCAATATCTCGACTTGAGTTTCAACAACTTCATGTATTCAAAGTTACCTGTTGAGATATCTAACTTAACAAAGTTGACTTATCTCAATCTGTCAAATGCTATGTTTCAAGATACCATCACTACACAATTCTCAAACCTTACATCTCTAAGGTATCTTGATCTTTCGTGCGCTTATTTAGTACCCGATTTGTCTTCTATTACTGTTAGCTTGACATTACCACCAAAGTTGGATTTTGGCTCATTTGTATCTTTTATAAGCTATGGTTATTTGTCTAGTCCAAATCTAAGGTGGTTAGAAGGACTTCGATGTCTAAGATATCTAGTATTGACAGGTGTTGATCTATCAAAGGCCTCGGAATCATTTCATTGGGCTAAACCAATATCAAGTCTTTCAAATCTCATGTCACTTCAATTGTCTAGCTGCAACATTTCAGGAAGAATTCCAATAGAACAATTGCTTAACCTTACTAGTCTTTCTACTCTAGATATGCGTTCTAACGTTCTAGCATCCACGATACCTGATATGATATCGAATCTCACAACCCTCTCAGTTGTTAATTTTCGTGGCAACAATTTAGATGGTCATATCCCTTACCTTCCTCAACTCAAAAGACTTTCTGTTTCTAGCAATCCTGCTATGACCATAGATCTTGTTTCAATGTTTTCAGCCCCATGGCCAAAGTTGGCATTTCTTGACATAAGCTTCACTCGGGTAGGTGGACTGATTCCTCCTTCTTTAAGCAACTCAACTTTATTATCCTTTTTCCGAGCTGATGGATGCTCGATCCAAGGGTCGATACCTTCTTCCATTACAAAACTTCAGAAATTAAGTATATTGATGCTCAATAACAATGATATCACAGGTCAACTTCCTGTTTCCATGTCCAGTTTAGTAAGCCTTCAATACTTATCTTTGTTCCAGAATAGCTTACAAGGGTATATTCCAAATTCGATTTGTCAAGTCCCCTCCCTGGAGTACCTGAATTTACAATGGAACGATCTAACAGGACGTCTTCCCTCGTGCATACTTCAGCTTCCTAAGCTTTCATTTCTTTATGTTCAGATGAATAACCTTAATGGTAATATGCCACTGTCATTGCTCCAGAAGTCTAGATTGGATCAAATCAGTTTCGGAGTTAGTGGACTGTCCGTGGAACTCGATGATCAAGATCAATCCTTTGTGCAAACTTTCCAGCCCACAATTTTGGAATTTACATCTTGCAACATGAGAGGAGAAATCCCGGAGTTCTTTTCAAATCTGACGAGTCTCAAGATTTTGATTTTGGCTAACAACAGTCTATCAGGAGCCATACCATACTGGTTGTTCAATCTCCCATCCCTCTCTGTACTAGATTTGTCAATGAATAACTTCAAGGGAGTTATACCTCCAATGATTCAGATGAAATCTTCTCGTTTTCCAACGCTAGTAAATTTAGCCAGAAACAAACTTGAAGGTCCTATCCCTACTCAGCTCGAGAATGTTAATGTCATTGATTTGTCATTTAACAATTTCGTAGGCTCAATTCCAACACAGATAGGGGAAATTCATGGTATCAGGTCCATATCATTATCAGGAAACAAAATCCATGGTCCAATACCTGAATCATTTTGCCAAGCGACTAACGTTCTCCAGGTTCTTGATCTCTCTAATAACAGCTTGTCAGGCACCATTCAACGTAATTTGGGAAACTGCAAATCTCTCATTTACCTTGATCTTGGACAAAACAAGCTCATTGGAAGTGTTCCGAAAGAACTTGAACGCGTTACAAGCCTTCGTTACCTTGACCTGAATGGAAATGAGTTTGAAGGTTCTTTTCCAACAGTGATTGAAAAGTTTCAAGGTTTGGAGATTCTGAACTTGGCAGGTAATAGATTTGAAGGAAGGATACCAAAGTTCATCGGTGAGCTACACAGTCTCCGTATACTCATGCTTGCATCAAACTCTTTCAATGAGTCTATACCGGAAGGGGTAATGAAGTTGGAAAATCTACAATATATTGGTTTGTCCAGGAACAATCTGTCTGGTCCCATTCCCGAGAATCTTGATGGCTTGAAAATGATGATGAAAACACAAAATCAAACAATCATCTTAGGTTATTTTTACTCCCTCAAGTTCACTGGTGCTCAGCTAGAAATTATCACCAAAGGACAGAGACATTTTCTTGTGTCAGTGTATTCCTACAACAGTGGATTTGACGTCTCAAGCAATGCTCTTACTGGTAAAATCCCTGAGAAAATTGGCCTTTTAAGTGGAATACCATTCCTGAATCTCTCACATAATAATCTTACCGGGGTTATCCCAACGACTATTGGCGAAATGATTTCCCTCGAGTCGTTGGATCTCAGCTATAACCAACTAACAGGTGAAATTCCAGTGACCTTGGCACCCTTGGATTTTCTTGCATATCTCAACTTGTCTTATAACAATTTGAGCGGACGGATTCCAAGAAATCCACATTTTGACACTTTATATCAAGACGGAACAGCATATATCGGAAACAAATACTTATGTGGTACTCCTGATGGGATGAACTGCAGTAACAATGGTCCCTCTATCATCACTGAAACTACAGAGAACGGATACGATCAAGAAAATGTCCTGTTTGTTTTAGTTATATTCTCGGGATTTGTAACAGGAGTTGCTGGTGTATTTCTGCTGTTACATTTGATAGATGAGAATTGGAGGAACAGGTATTGGAGTGCAGTAGACAGAATTGTGTTGAAAATAGTGAACTGTAAACTATGATATGTATATATATGAACATACTAAATTTCTGCAATAGAATACAAATAGCAATGACAGCAGTCTTTTGAGTCCAATTTCACTATGCATATGCCAATGCACACTCGTAACCATAACGTCTAACAAGCAAAGTGTCGGGACTCAAACCCCATGCCTTACCATCTTAAGATGCTGGATCTCTCACTGTCTCACATCATCATCATATCATCATGGTGCATTGGGACTCAGAAATAATGATATGGTATCAGGTCCATATCATTATTAATCACTGCATAAATAATCCTTACATTATAACCTCCGCATAACTAGCATGTAAATCATACCACATCTACCAACAAAGGTCATAGTGGAGCGGAAAATCCCGCTTCATCCTTGCGAATATAGATTTAGTTGCCCCTGATGTGAGTATCGGATACCAGAGGAAACCAAAAAAAATGAATCAAACCACTTCATATAGTATTAGATGAGTATACAATAGAGAAAAAAAAAACATTGTTTACAACTTTTGTTCATGAAACACTATTTTACTATTTTTAACACAATTCTGTCTATTGCCCTCCAGTATTTGTTCCTCCAATTGTCCTTCATCAAATATAAGAGCAAAAACATTCCAGAAATGCCTGTTACATAGCCAAAAAATATAACTAGAACAAACAGGACATTTTCTTGATCGTATTTGTTCTCTGTAGTTTCAGTGATGATAGAGGGACCATTGTTACTGCAGTTCATCCCATCAGGAGTACCACATAGGTATTTGTTTCCGATATATGCTGCTCCGTCTTGATACAAAGTGTCGAAATGTGGATTCCTTGGAACCCGTCCGCTCAAATTGTTGTAGGACATGTTGAGATGTTGGAGAAAATCTAACAATGCCAATGTCACTGGAATTTCACCTCTGAAATGGTTGTAGCTAAGATCCAACGACTCGAGTGAAATCATATCGCCGATAGTCTTTGGGATCAGTCCAAAAAGATTGTTATGTGAGAGATTCAGGAATGGGATTCCACTTAAAAGGCCAATTTTTTCAGGGATTTTACCAGTAAGAGCATTGCTCGAGACGTCGAATCCAGTGTTGTAGGAATACACTGTTTCAAGCCAATGTATCTGTCCTTTGGTGACTATTTCTAGCTGTGCACCAGTGAACTTGAGGGAGTAAACATAACCTAAGATGGTTGCCTCATTTTTCCTTTTCTTCATCATTTTCATGCCATCGAGATTCTCAGGAATGGGACCGGACAGATTGTTCCTGGACAAACCGATATATTGTAGATTTTCCAACTTCATTAGCCCTTCTGGGATAGATTCATTGAAAATGTTTGATGAAAGAACAAGTATACGGAGGCTGTGTAGCTCACCGATGAAGTTTGGTATCGGTCCTTCAAATCTATTGCCTGCCAAGATCAGAATCTCCAAATCTTGAAAGTTTTCAATCATTTTTGGAAAAGATCCTTCTAGCTTATTTCCATTCAGGTCAAGGTAACGAAGGCTTGTAACGCGTTCAAGTTCTTTTGGAACACTTCCAGTGAGCTTGTTTTGTCCAAGATTAAGGTAAATGAGAGACTCGCAGTTTCCCAAATTACGTCGAATGGTGCCTGACAAGCTATTATTAGAGAGATCAAGAACCTGGAGAACGTTAGTCGCTTGGCAAAATGATTCAGGTATTAGACCATGAATTGTGTTTCCGGATAAAGATATGGACCTGATACCGGGAACGTCTCCTATCCGTGATGGAATCGAGCCTACAAAATTGTTAAGTGACAGATCGATGACATTAACATTCTCGAGCTGAGAAGGGAGAGGACCTTGAAGTTTGTTTCTGGCTAAATTTACTATTGTTGGGAAATGAGAAGATTTCAGCTGAATCATTGGAGGTATAATTCCCCTGAAGTTATTCATAGGCAAAGATAGTATAGAGAGGGAAGGGAGATTGAACAACCAGTGTGGTATGGCACCCGATAGACTGTTGTTAGCAAAATTCAAAACCACGAGGCTTGTAAAATTCGAAAAGAAATCCGGGATTCCTCCTCTCATGTTGCAAGATGTGAAATCCAAAATCTTGGGCTGGAACGTTTGCACGAAGAGTTGATCTTGATCATTGATTTCCAATGACAATCCACTAGTTCCTAAACTAATTTCATCTAATCTAGACTTTCGGAACAAAGACAATGGCATATTACCATTCAGTCTATTCCTCTGAATATAAAGAGATGAAAGCTTAGGAAGCTGAAGTATGCACAACGGAAGACGTCCTGTTAGATCGTTCCATTCTAAATTCAGGTGCTTGAGGGAGGCGATTTGACAGATCGAAATGGGAATGTGACCTTCTAATCTGTTCTGAGACATAGATAAGTATTGAAGGCTTACTAAACTGGACATTGATACAGGAAGTTGGCCTGTGATATCGTTGTCATTCAGCATCAGTACACTTAATTTCTTAAGTTTTGTGACAGAAGAAGGTATCGACCCTTGAATCGAGCATCCATCAGCTCGGAAAAAGGACAATGAAGTTGAGTTGCTTAAAGAAGGAGGAATCATTCCAGCTACACGAACGAAGCTTATGTCAAGAAATGTCAACTGCGGCCACGGAGCAGAAAACATTGAAACAAGATCTATGGTCATAGTAGGATTGCCAGAAACAGAAAGTTCTTCGAGTTGAGGAAAGTAAGGGATATGACCATCCAAATCATTGCTACTAAAATCAAGAACCGAGAGGGTAGTGAGGTTCGAAAGCAGATCAGGTATCGAGGATGTTAGAACGTTAGAACTCATATCTAGAGTAGAAAGATTAGTAAGGTTAAGTAATTGCCCTACCGGAATTCTTCCTGAAATGTTGCAGCTGGACAAATGAAGTGACTTGAGATTTGAAAGGCTTGATATTGGTTTAGCCCAATGAAATGATTCGGACGCCTTTGATAGATCAACACCAGTCAATACTAGATATCTGAGACGTCGGAGTCCTTGTAACCACCTAAGATTTGGACTAGACAAATAACCATAGCTTATAAAAGAAAACAATGAGCCAAAATCCAACTTCAGTGGAGATGTCAAGCTAACAGAAACAGAAGAAAAATCAGGTACTAAATTAGCACACGAAAGATCAAGAGACCTTAGAGATGTAAGGTTTGAGAATTGCGTGGCTATGGAATCTTGAAACATGGCATTCGACAGATTGAGATAAGTCAACTTTATTAAGTTCGATATCTCAACAGGTAACTTTGAGTACATGAAGTTGTTGAAACTCAGGTCGAGATGTCGCATATGGTCAAGCGTAAAGAGCAATGGAGATATAGTACCTTTAAGAGAAAAATCAGACGTGTTTTTAAAATTTGTAACAACTTCCTTATTGATATTGATCATGACTTCAACGGGATTAGGATTCCGAAGGTTGACAACTACAACATGACCTGAACTCGAGCACTTGATTCCTTTCCAATTGCAACAATTTCCGCCTTGCCATGAAGATAACCGGCTAGATGGATCAGTCAGCAAGGATTTGAAGCTTAACAGAGCTGATCTTTCTGTTTCATGACAGCTATAAACGATCGAAAAATGGTAAAATAGAGTAGCAAATATAATGAAATCTTTCTTTAACCACATGACTTCAAGATGATGAACAATATACTAAAGTTGTCCAAGTGTTAAAGGTTTAAATACAAGTTTTATGCTTGTTTCCTAAAATGTCTTCATGAATAAAAATAACATTTTTTCGTGTAATTTTCTATGTTTAGTACCAATAATTTTCAAATTGTTTGAACAGAAGATAGATGACTTTGACAAATAACATATTACTCTACCAAATCTCTTATAGGTTTGAAAAATTAACATATCTATGTCTGAAAACTATGTGTTACTAATTTCTATATCTTTTACCACTGTGTAACTATGACTTTTTATTAGTGCTTCTATACACACCGAGTTTTTAACATAAAAACATATACTTAGTGCCTTTAACTTTCATCGAACGAACCAACTAGACATGTCTACTAATCATCATAAACATATCTGAAAATCATGAAGTATGACGTATGAGCCTCATACATAGCGCGAAAATCATACATAAACTTGTATACGAGCAATCACAGACGATTCATGAGTGAACAATGGTTGTACTGCTTTGTTTTTATTGTATCAGCATCTCTTAAATTATGATCTTACGCGGTTGCACATGAAAAAAAGAAGTAAAGGAAAGATCAAAAGAATACAAACTATTATGGAAGTAAAACAAAAGTACATCAAGAAATATAAAGACATCAACTTTTGGAGAATATTTAACTAATCATCCAAAGAATTCTTTGTTCTTTATTCTTGAGTCATGAAGGAGCTAGAGAGAACAGATTGTACTGAGGCGGAGCCAGGTAGGGACGAGGGGGTTCACCTAATCAATCTCCTTTGGCGGAAAATTATATTGTTTATAATACATGGTTAAATTATTTTTTTATGTATATATATATAGTAGATGTTGAACCCTTTTTGGCTTCTTCGTGTGTTTACTTCTTCATATTTTAAAACCCCTTAGTGAAAATTGTGGCTCGATAATTGATTGTACTTGCAATATAGTAGGAAGCTTGAACTAGAAAAAAATGCATTTTCCAATTCCTTCAACAGACAGACAGTCTTCTTCTCTCATTTAAGCTTTTTCTTTTCTCTTTTCCTATATCCCCTTTCTCTTTTTCACCAAAGTTCTTATGTAGTATTAATAGTGTATTTAATTTGTTGACCGCGTAACTTGTCATATTTTCAAGGTTACAAATCTTACTTCTTATGGATTATTACAAAAAAATATACGTACGTATTAGCACAATATAACTTTTCAACCAAGGGGGGGCTCTGCTCGTGTAGACGATTGTCAAATAAGTAACGACCAACACAAATGGTGTAACAACTGCCCCAAGGAGTCCAATATGGGCGCGATGACTTTTTGGCTTACATTGTCAGTATATCAAAGTTATATAAAACCACATCATTTTCATGAAGGTTTCAGTGGGCAATATTAACTTCTATCTAGATATATGTTCACTAACCACTTAAACTAAAAATAGCTGGCGGATGTATAGTATAAATAGCCACTCATGTGTATAACGGTGTATAACATATGTATACTGGCTAGAAAAAGTAAAAGTGAACGCAGTCGGATCCCTATAATCATATCTTATTATTACTTTTCCATAAAAGATAGGCAGTCTAGTTTCCTTTTATCACTTATAAAAGCCAAAAAGATAGGAGAGACAATTTAGCTTTGCTTCACATGCTTTCACACTTTCTCATACAAAACCAACAACCACAAGAAAAGCACAAAGCCTTAAAAACTCCTATTAATTCCCTTCACTTCTATCACTTACCAGAAAACACACAACTAAAAAACACTACTTCTCTTCGAAATCTATACTTATCGATCTTTGATCTTTCGAAAAAGAGTGAAAATGAGGACTAATGTTAGTTTCCAACAGGCACTAACTGTTGAATCTTCAAGTATAGTGAAACAAGCTTTGAGCTTAGCTAAAAGAAGAGGACATTCACATGTAACTCCTCTTCATGTAGCAAGTGCAATGTTAGTTTCCTCTTCGTCTACGCTTTTAAGAAAAGCTTGTTTTCAAACAAATTCTCATCCAATTCAGTACAAAGCTCTTGAACTTTGCTTCAATGTAGCACTCAATAGGCTTCCTACCTCTGCATCTAATCCGATTCTCGAGCCTCATGTTCACCCTCCTTTTCTTTCTAATGCCTTAGTTGCTGCATTTAAGAGGGCACAAGCTTATCAACGTCGCGGTTCAGTAGAGAATCAGCAACAACAACAGCACCTCAAAGTAGAAATTGACCAGCTTGTTATATCAATTCTTGATGATCCTAGTGTTAGCAGAGTTATGAGTGAAGCTGGTTTTTCTAGCATCCAACTAAAAACCAATGTAGAACACGCTATTTCTTCCGAAAATAGCACTAAACCGATGGTCATAGCATCAGGAAACAACCTCAAGTTGTCACTATGCAAATCAGGTGATGATCCAAGTGTTAGCCGAGTCATGAGGGAAGCCGGTTTTTCTAGCATCCAACTAAAAACCAATGTAGAACACGCTATTTCTTCGGAGATTTCTTGGAAAAATAGCTCAAAATTGATGGTTATACCACCAGGAGATAACCTTAAACTGTCACTAGGCAAATCAAGTGATGATCAAATCAAGAATGATGATGTGATGAGTGTTATAGAAGCAATGATGAACAAGAAAAGGAGAAACACAGTTATTGTAGCAGAGTGTTTAGCTAATGCTGAAGGGGTTGTTAGAGGAGTTGTTGATAAGTTCGATAAAGGAGAAGTATCATCACACATGAAACATGTTCAGTTCATAAGTGTTCCACTTTCTACACTGAGAAATGTCTCGAAAGAAGAATTCGAGGCCAAGATTAGAGAGCTAAGGATTTTACTAAAAAGTTGTATACACAGAGGGGTTGTTTTATATTTAGGTGATCTTGAATGGATATCTGAGTTTTGGACTAAAGTACACAATGAGCAAAAAAACAACTACATGATATTGGAGCTTAGTCGATTGTTATGTGGCGAAATGAGTGAAAACGGAAGGCTATGGCTTATGGGAATTGCTAGTTTTCCAACTTATACGAAATGTAAAACTGGCTGTCCTTCTCTACGGACTCTTTGGGATCTTCATCCTCTTACACTCCCGGTTGTCAGCTTGGATCTCAACCTTAACCTCGAAAGGTATATATTTCCTTAACATTTCTACTTATTTACTGTTCTATAACGGTGGTGTTCTAACTAGCTTGTGCGTCTTTACCACTTCATCTGCTAGGCCACACCCTTGGGCTATGCTACTTAGACTCTTCAAAAATGATGACAGGTGTGTGTTGGATCCTCCAAAAGTCGTGCATCTTTTGAGGATCTAACACAAGTCCGGCATCATTTTTTGGAGAGTCTGAACAACATAGCCGGAAAGTACACAATTTTCCCTTATTACTTTATATTCAAGTTACTTTCTTCAAACTATATAATTGACTAATCATCTATTTAATCAATATTTGCACTAATTTCTTTGCAGTTCTGTCCACAAACATGATCATAACTTTATAGACAAAGGCTTGTTTAGTCCATCTTCATCTTCTCCTTGTTCCTCTACTTCGATTTCTTCTTCATCGAAGAAAGAACATCAATTCTTGAATACAAAGCCTGAACTTCTATCGAATCCCAATTCGATTCCTAATTCAGCTTCATCAAGTGAAGCAAGTGGACATATTGAGCACTTAGAGCTATGTTGCTCTGACTCTCCAGAAATGTTGTTGCACTCGTGTCAGATCCTTCAGAAATGCACGCACTCATCAACATTTTTGAACAGTTCGAGCAACGTAAAGATTCTTTGCAAGGCATTGGAGAAAGTAGTTCCATGGCAAAAAGATATCATTCATGATATAGTAAGCACAATTCTTGAACGTAGACACAAAAAGGAAGAAACTTGGCTTTTGTTCTTAGGTGTTGATTCTCATGGCAAAGAGAAAATTTCAAAAGAGTTAGCTAAAATAATCTTTGGCTCTCAAGATTGTTTCATTTCCATTGGATTAAGTACATTTTCATCATCAACAAGAACAGATTCAACTGATCAAGAAGTCAATAACAAAAGATCTCGAGACGAGCAAGGTATAGTACTGTTGAACTGTCTGACCGTCTCATCGTTACAAAAAAAAAAACTTTTATTTACTTGATTATATTATGTTTCGACTTCTCCTATCCCCATTCACACCCCTACTCTCAATGCACTTTCATTACTTACCGCCTTTTTGGCCAAACTTCTAAAATTTACTTATTTTGAAAAACACTTTTTGTGAGAAGTAACTTCTGGAGTACAGTAACAGTTTGTGTTTGGTTAATCAATCTGAAAGTCACTTTTATTGATGCTAGAGTAACAATTTGTGCTTGAAAACCGCTAAACCCTAAAAGTTTGGTCAAACACCTCAACGTTCTAAAATAAGCATTTTAAACTTTCCAGAAGTTTGACCAAACAAGTTATTAAACATGTTATGTCTCAACACGCACCGGCCCTGACTTGTGGACCTGAGTGGTGGCAGACTTATAATTACTTAATTATATTATGTCTCAACAGGTCGGAGTTATCTTGAGAGATTTACAAATGCAATTCAAGAAAATCCAAGGAGAGTGTTCTTCATGGAAGATATGGATCAAGTTGATTCTTTTTCACAAAAGGGTATTCAAAAAGCTATTGAAAGTGGAAAATTAACACTTCCTAATGGTGATTTAGTGTTAATTAAAGATTCTATAATCATTTTCAGCTGTGAAGAGTACTTTAGTTCAATTTCAAGAACATGTTTTCCTACAAATATTCAGAAATTTAGTGAAGAAAATAATGCTTCATTGGATTTGAATATTGCCATTGGAGAAAATAGGGATGAAAAACAAATTATGTTGAAGATTTGAGTAATTAATGTAAGAATGAAATGAAAATTTTTTCTTACTTTCCTTGTGGTATTTTGCATATTTTTATTGATTTTTCAGTTAATAGTTCAAACAATTTTTTGTTTTTTATTGTTATTGAAAAAAAATAGAATTGAGAAGAAATGTGATTTTTTAAAGATAATAATAACCACATGAGAAATCAACATATCATAAATTGACAACTTTAACAATATCAATGATCAATATCGGTGAATATGATAGAATAGAGAAAGAAACTCCATTCATTAGTTAAAATAAAAAAATATTTATCTTTTTTTCGATATTTTCTTACATTATCGATAGAACTCTAGTAGAAATATTTAAACAATATTTTTGATAATATTAATAGATATTATTCGAATTATTCTTTTTCGATTCATATCAACATTTAGTAAAGAAGTTATTAGAAAAGGAAATTGTAAATTTTTTCTATTCCATAATACGGTCATTATCAGAATAAAGCTTTTTGCTTTCAATTTATAATAATTACTATATGTGATTTTTGCATTAAAGTAAGTGAAACACTTTCTTGGATCTGATGCCAGTGCTTCTTTTCAAACTATGAGGCAAAAAGGAATTAATCAATGATATTAATTTAGAATCTTTATTTTGCTTTTTGTTCTTCTTTTTTGCTTTATATACTCCCTTACTCTCAAATTATCTATTATAATTTTAAAAAATATTTATATCAAATTATCTATCATTTTAGAAGTTCTTGATTGATCCTTTAAAGAAAGTGTAATAGTTTACTGGTCTAGTTTTATGGCATTGAAAATATTATATCGTGGCTCAAGTGATTTATCAAATTGCGATACCTTAAAGTTGTTTCACTAGGAGAAATAAATTTTTGTTCCATCGTGAATAAATAGAAAATATATGTCGTAAAATATAATTTTTCCATTCATTTTCCACCTAAGCTTACTGAAAAAAATGCATGATGAGAAACAGATTTTTATTGAATAGTAGGAAGCTTCTTAATTTTTTTCGTATGAAAACGTTATTATTTTTTCTTTTCTCATCGATTTAATTAAAAAACAATCAGAATAGTCACTGGACATTTTTTTAGTGAAAATATCTTAATTTTTTAGTAATGCCTTTTCAAGTGTCATAACAAAACTTTTGTTAATAGGGAGGTTTTAAGTGACAACACATTTTTAAAGAATGTATAAAAGAAAAATTCGATCGATAATTTAAAACGGGAAGAATAATAATTGATAGATAATTAGAAATGGGAAGAATAGTAATTAGTGAGTGATTTTTTTTATTGGCATAAAAGTAAGTGAAACACTCTCTTGGATCTGATGCCACTCTTCTTTTTGTTCTTTTTATATAGCTTTTGATCTAATGTATCTTTAAATATTCTCATTCTCATGTTCAAATTATGAGTATTTGATTTAGACAGAGAGACCAAAAGAATCTAATTTATATTCATTGATATAAGATTTAAAAAAAACATATATAATAATATGATAGTTATAATTTTATTTTTCTATCTTAGATTTTATGTTCAGCCAAAGTGTACGTATTACATAAATTGATAGAAGCAAGAAAACTTATAATTAAAAATTATCTACCTCATAAATACACTAATGATGTAAATATATCTATACGATCTGCGTGTACAACTTAAGTTCTATATATACGATGTAATAAAGTTTATACAATTAGATCGTTACTAAAATAATTACAAATAAATCCTCTCTGATAAAATAATTAACTAATATGTTATTATAAATTATATTATACTGATAAATCTTTTGTGAGTATATTTTTTTAATATATATATATATATATATATATATATTAAAAGTAAATTCATGATAGAATTAGAGAAAGAGAAGCACACATCCCCCTTTTTATGTTTGTTGGGTTGGTGACTTGGTTAGTCAAAAATATGTGCCAATAACATTAAAGTTAAAAAGTGTTTTTTTTCTTTTTTTCTTTTTTTAGTTGAGTTCCTTTTCAACTTTAATTTATGGCATATGAAACCTTTTTTTTTTTTGGTGACAAGTTTTTGAAGAAGGAATGTTTGTGATATTTTAAGTGAATTGCAAATTAAATAAGAACGAAAAGTGAAATTTTTTATAAGAGCGTATTATATAAAGTTTATATGATACAGACTTTTAGATTGGATGATCAATGACGTAGCTCAAGAGAGAAATCTATGAGATCAGTTAGGTCAAAGTGAATAATACGTGTCATGAACTTGAGCTATGACATGTTTATCAAGACATGTCACAATCTCACTCTTAAAAACTCTTCACGATTTGCTTAATTTATGGGCAATTGTTTTAAAAGTTACAACTCAACTTACATTAAATTTCTGGTGATTTGCCAAGACTTTGACAAGTTAATTCATCAAAACTATGACGATCTGTCAGAATTTTTGTACTAAATCCCTGTGATCCGCCATAAATTGTGGGCACACAAAGATGGACTGTCAAGAACGTAGAGGAGGTAGGATGGACAATTGGTCAGATCTAATATGGATCGAACATAGACAGTAGTTGAAGTCGACGACTCTCTAAGGTTTCCTCATCTGAGATCTTTGCGACAAATGATCAAGTTGACCCTTGTGAACAACTTAATGCACTATCCCTCTTCAACCCTTTGAGCGAAATGCATCAAAAGAAAAGGAAGAAAAATTCATGGACTGACCCCATCATCTCCACCCTGTAGAAACTACGAGATCACCCCAAAACAACAAGGCTTTTTGCTAATTTTCGGGTGGTATACTTGAAATCCCCATCAAAAATTATTTTTACACAACTATTTAAAAAGTAAATTAAAAATTAAATAACGGCGCAAAATAATCCTATATTGGATTGTATTTTGGGCCTTATTTTGTTAAGGCCCATATCATGATGGACCAAAGTTAAATAATGGGCTTCTTACTTGAAATGGGTTTTCAGCCCATAAGTGAGTAATCAATCAATACAATCTTAGGGATAAAAAAAGAGCAACTTTCACATATAACAAACATAAAAATCATATTTGTATGTTATAACTATAGTTTGCATAATTGCGTTCCATAACAAATTTTATGTTTGCTATGAAACGTTTGATTTGTATTATTCGCTAGATACATCCAATTTTATATAAATTGTTCAGTTTTGTATAAATTTATTTATACACTGTAATTTGTATAACAAGATCTATATTTGTATAATTATAAGTGTATATAACGAAAATATATGTATTTGTATTTGTATATACACTTTCTCTCGCTTTATACAAACACAAACGCATTTTATATATTTGTATACCGAACCAGATGGCAAAAGATTGGGATGTTTGCTGCGAATTACAAATAAAATAAACTATGGCTATACCATTTAATTTGAATTAATAATTTGCTATTTCATATAATCTTTCCATAAAAAAAATGTTTACTGGCTATTTATATATATATATATATATATACATATATATATATTATAGTTTAAAAATAATAATTATTATTCTAAAGTTTGAATTATATAAATGAAATTTGAGGATGATATTTTCAATAAACTTGTAAATTCATACATGTTATTAGTCGAAGTAGTGTTGATAGATTGTTTTTCGATCATATTTTTCAAAATAGTCATTGTCTGGAGTTTTAAATTTCGTAAGTGAATTTTTAATATCATCAACTTTATAAGTTGTTGTTGTAAAATGTGATTTGTAAGTCATGTTTACAAAAATGCCTATTTATGAATTATATTCAACAATTGTGATTTACAACTGCAATTTAATCACACTTTAAAAATGAGATTTATAGATCACTATTTTGAGATATGATTTATAAATCGTGCTCTTCCAATTTTACATTTAGAAAGAAAATAATATCATTTTAATGTCTTTTTTCTCCCAAATATTATTGTGTTTTATAAAGATACCAATAAATATAACAAATAATTTCAACTTAGGACCATATTTTTCACATATAGATTTATAAATACTTCTAATTCTAATTTGGTTAGAATTATTTACTTACCAAATATAGATTTATTTGGCTATTTTATTTTATGAATTATAAGTAAATATTAAAAGTTATTTTTTTTCTTTCATAAGAAAAACCAATTAATATTGGGATTTTACATTTTCATCAACCAGCTTGTGCTCAAGCTACTCCAAACACTGCTTCGAACAGGTACTCTACCCTTTCTCTCTCTCAAAATTAGCATCCTTTTTATTGTTTTTTCTTGTAATTCTGATATGGGTTTTGTTGGATTGAAGTTATTTATGGTAGAAATCCCTTGAAGTTGGAATCTTTAGCTGTGATTTTTTGAGATTTTTGATTTCCTTTTATGTTTTAGCTTGCTGTTTTTGTTATGGGTTTTGTTGGATTGAAGGTTTTATTGGTTGGAATTCCTCAAAGCACAAATTTTTGAGCTTTTTGATTTCCTTTTATGGTGTAGCTTGTTGTTTTTTATATGGGTTTTGCTGGATTGAAGGTATTATTAGTTGGAATTCCTCAAAGTTGGGATCTTTAGCTGTGGTTTTTTGAGATTTTTGATTTCCTTTTATGTTTTAGCTTGCTGTTTTTGATTTGGGTTTTGTTGGATTGAAGGTATTATTGGTTGGAATTCCTCTAAATTTGAATCTTTAGCTGTGAATTTTTGAGATTTTTGAGTTTCTGTATGAAGCTTTGCTGTTTTTGATATGGGTTTTGCTGGATTGAAGGTATTATTGGTTGGAATTCCTCAAAGTTGTAATCTTTAACTGTGATTTTTGATTTACTTTTATGGTTTAGCTTGTAGTTTTTGATATGGGTTTTGTTGGATTGAAGGTATTATTAGTTGGAATTCCTCGAAGTTGTAATCTTTAACTGTGATTTTTTATTTATTTTTATGGTTTAGCTTGTAGCTTTTAATATGTGTTTTGCTGGATTGAAGGTATTATTAATTAAAATTTCTCAAAGTTGGAATCTTTAGCTGTGGTTTTTTGAGAATTTTGATTTCCTTTTATGGTTTAGCTGGTAGTTTTTGATGTGGGTTTTGCTGGATTGAAGTTATTCATGGTTGGAATTCCTCAGAATTGGAATCTTCGGCTGTGATTTTTTGAGATTCTTGGTGTCCTTTTATGGTTTAGCTTGCAGTTTTTGATTTGGGTTTTGTTGGATTGAAGGTATTATTGGTTAGAATTCCTCCAAATAGGAATCTATATCTTGGATTTGCTTGAATTCTTGATTTTGTTTCATATGTGAATCTGATAGATTATTGGTTCCTTCATCAGTGGTGTTAGCACTACTGCAACATGTAAGAAATTCTGAACTGGGGTTTATGTTTTTTCTTGCTACTAAAGAATCAAAAGGGCAGCCAAAGTACACAAAGTATCCCGCTAACGCGGGGTTTGGGGAAGAGCTGCAGCCCAAAGGGTATGATGTATAAGGCATCAATGGGTAAATTATGAAAATGACCTAAGATTTGTGATGAAACCTATAGGCTAACTGCTTTGTGGTAGAAGGTGTCAGCTAATATATCTTTGCATCCGTAGGGCTAGTAATAATGTGTGGTTAGTCCCATACTAACATGAAGGTTGTGTTATATATTGCTTAGAGGTTAAGTTGCAATTACTCTTCACTTTCGATGCCGCACCTGTGTCCGATTCTCCAAAAAATACACTACTTTTGAAGAATCTGAAACGCACCCATTGACATTTTTGAAGAGTCCAAGTAACATAGCTTTGAGGTATTAGAGTTGTTTTACTGGTGTCTAATTAGAGATTTATAAAAGTGCTCTTTACTTACAAGATTTTAAACCAGCCATCACTTTTAGCTGAGTATGTGATATTCTTCATATCCAGCCTAAGTTAATTTTCTTGGCATTTAGCTGCTGCTGGTGTATTGTTTCTGGTTAAAGACAAGTTATTTAGCATTGGAAAGAAATGGGCTTGAATAAAGCAGTATGGGTAAGAGGATTTGTATAGTTGGACTTGACCAGTTTAGGATTGGTGTAGTTGATTGAGTTAGTTCTTAGTTGCAACTAGGAGACACTCTATACAAAAAGAAGACTTGTAATGTTCTCAATTGTGCAAGTGCAAGCTCAAGACAGCCTATTCTCCTTATACTTCCCTAGAAGTTTACATGCATGTTGTCAAGTACATAAACCAATAAGACAGCATTGTTTGTTCAATTGGACCTGTTAGATAGTTGATATAAGGATATGCTAAAATCTCTCTCAGTTTTAAGTACTTATGATCCTTTATGTGTGATGGACTATGCACTCATTGATACATCCGGATCATCCTTCTCCAAAATAATTACTTTGGAATGCACTTGCAGTTTATTTTTCTTATCTCATGTTTCTTCGTTTCTTATGTACTTGATCTATGTGGACTCTAATTTGTCTTCAATATGCCTCTAGTTTAGATTGATTTGTAGCTGAAGCAGGTGCTTGGGATCAATTGGCAATAATGGCAGATGGCCAAGAAAATGATAAGAATATTGAAATATGGAAAATGAAAAAATTAATCAAAGCCCTACAATCTGCCAGAGGAAACGGCACCAGCATGATCTCTCTTATCATACCCCCTGGTGATCAGATATCTCGTATTACCAAGATGCTGGCAGAAGAATATGGTACTGCATCAAATATTAAGAGCAGAGTAAACCGTCAGTCTGTGCTTGGTGCAATAACGTCTGCTCAGCAGAGGCTTAAACTGTATAACAAAGTTCCTCCTAATGGTTTGCTGCTTTATACTGGAACTATAGTGACGGATGATGGAAAGGAAAAGAAGGTCACCTTTGATCTTACACCTTTTAAACCCATAAATGCGTCTCTATACTTATGTGACAACAAATTTCATACAGAACCTCTTGGTGAATTGTTGGAATCTGATGAGAAGTTTGGTTTCATTGTCATGGATGGTAATGGGACCCTTTTTGGGACCTTGAGTGGCAACACCCGAGAAGTTCTTCATAAGTTCACTGTTGATCTCCCAAAGAAGCATGGAAGAGGAGGTCAATCAGCTCTTCGGTTTGCTCGTCTTCGAATGGAGAAACGTCATAATTATGTGAGGAAGACAGCAGAGCTTGCTACTCAATTCTTCATTAACCCAGCCACTAGCCAGCCAAATGTATCTGGACTAATACTTGCTGGATCAGCTGATTTCAAAACGGAGCTAAGCCAATCTGATATGTTTGATCCACGTCTACAAGCAAAGATACTTAATGTGGTTGATGTGTCCTATGGAGGAGAGAATGGCTTCAATCAGGCAATCGAGCTGTCTGCTGAGATACTGGCAAATGTGAAGTTTATACAAGAAAAGCGCTTGATAGGGAAATTCTTTGAGGAAATCAGTCAAGATACTGGCAAGTATGTATTTGGTGTGGATGACACAATAAAAGGTTTGGAGATGGGAGCTGTTGAAACTCTAATTGTGTGGGAAAATCTTGATATAAACCGTTACGTCCTGAAAAACAGTGTAACTAATGAGATTGTCATTAAGCACCTAAACAAGGAGCAAGAGGCTGATAATAGTAACTTCAAGGATTCTGCCACATCAGCTGAATTGGAGGTTCAGGATAAAATGCCACTGTTGGAGTGGTTTGCCAATGAATACAAAACTTTTGGTTGTTCACTTGAGTTTGTCACTAACAGGTCTCAAGAGGGATCACAGTTCTGCAGAGGATTTGGTGGCATTGGAGGAATCCTTCGCTACCAGCTTGACATGCGTTCCTTTGATGAGCCATCTGATGAAGGAGAATACTTTGAGGATTCTGATTAAGTCAATGATTTCTGTCTACTAAGACCAGACAATGGATGAGAGGTCTACAGTTGGTGGAAGTTTTGGGGTCAGCATGGCAATGAGGTACCTGCTGTCATGCTATATATAAATCAATGAGTATTTTGCTGTTGTAAACTTCGCTTGTTTTCCCTTTAAATGTGGAACAGATTTCTTTCGAACACATGTCGATTGAAGGGGTCTTTTTGATTATTTTATCAGCATGTCTACCATATTAATTTTTTGAGTTTATAGGTGGGAGAATTTTGATTTATGCTGAATGGTACTTAAATATCTTGTTTTTAATTGATATTTGAGTTTCTACAGTCCGTAAGAAAGGAGCTATCGACCAGAGAGGTGCTCCTCTGACTGACCTTGATCTTCTCTGAGTAATGGATCTAATCACAAAGAAGATTAAGTCACCATGTTGTAGAGTTTAGGATGTGATTAAGTTACGATATAGATGTAGACGGTCTTCTGTTTATAGGATGTTTAGATTTAGGCATGAGTAACTAGAATAAGGAGTGAAGCTTTAGTGTACTTAACCCTCTACATTGACGATTTATGTGAAAATGAAGTGAGTCTCATTAGGTAGTTCTGTTGAAACAATGCCAATTTCTTTACTGCATTGAAGTTTCTTCCTTTAGTAATAGGAAGATCAAAACATACTACGTCCAGTTCACGTGCACCTCGACTATTCCACTAGGTACCTGCTACGTCCTTGTGTAATTGCAGGTTGAGAAGTTATCACAGGACTGTTTAGGTCACTGTTGCTCTTCTATCTATCTCTCTTATAATGGTAGTGTCCCGTGTGCTGTTCAGCTCATGTGCACCTCAACTATTCCACTAGGTACTTGCTACTTCCCGACTGACTCTCTCTGCTGAAATCACCTAACGTCTTTTGTCGAACATCCTGGACTTCTCATGTTTGGTTGTCAAATTCTTAATACCCCATATCTTCTTGTTAGAAGCTAGTTGTGGTTAGAAAGGGAGAAAGTATTAGTGTCCCCATCAGGTTTCAATGATAATAGGGAACAAAACAATGTCCACATTGTTCTTCTCTCATTGCAATAATGAAAGTAGAACTTTTGTAAAGTAATTTAAGCAGTTGTTGATAGTGATTGTCATTTTGAACACGAGACCTCTGGTTAAGGATGAAAGGGTACTTACCATCTCACCAAGCATAGTATTAAGTCAGAGATTTGACTTTCAGTCGCGACATTTTCTTTTTTTCGTTTCTAATCCTGCATCTGCCTCTGTGTTGTATATAATGCATAATATTGTGACTAAAGAGTCCTCACTCACAATACAACTTGAGTACAAACATTTTCTCTAACAAACTTGTGAATTCAATATTGGAATTCCATTATTGGAGCAACTGTTTGTATGTGTTTTCTTTTGGCTTCAATAGAAAAGTTGGACTTAACCCCTGGCCATTTTGTGTCAGTTTCATGGGCTCATTCTGCCTCTTATTTAGCTTCCAAGCATGTGAGGATGAGTACAATTATTTCATTATGTCAAAAAAAAAAAGACAAAATTAGAACTCATTTTTGTCTGGTGCTAGCATTAACAAAATCGGATTCAGGATTTCAACTTTATGAGTTATAATTCCAAGACGCAAAGTGAAATCTATTATTTTCACTCATTTAACCAGTTCTTTTACCGCTCTTATAGGTTTTGAGTCAAAACTACTGGATTCAACTAAACTCGCAAGTTATACAAGCAACTATAGAGGCAAAGTCTCATGAACTAACTCCCCAATAGTGGGCTGAAGACAAATGGAAACTAGCTAGTAACCTAGTATGATTTTACTTGCCATAAAGAGATTTATCGTAACTGATGAGATTTTTTCATTTTAATCAGAGGCTTCGGGTTTGATTGTTGATACTAAGAACATTCCTAATAATGAGAGTTTCCCAAGCGCGATATAATCTCGAACTAGTTGAGGTAAGTGAATATCGAATATCAATTGATTAATAGAAAAAAAGTTAAAAAGATTTTATTTAAGATGGTTGGTGCCTACATAAATATGGAAAATCCTCATGTTTCATCCTTGATAAAATAAAATATTATCTCATCATTCACAAAAGACACCATATTATATGTCATATACAAATTTCAGCTCATTTGGATCTCCATTCTCAAATAAAACATGCATGCATTATTATATCATATACTTTAAAAGACAAGGTCCCAAATAATGTCACTCATGGGTGTGGCCCATCTGTCAAAAAATTGCATAGGCATTATATGAGATAGATCAATGTTTAAATTTCAGTGGATAAGAAAAAAACGTTAGGTGACTTCTTTTCATTCATATAAGTCTTGATAGGCAGAGATGAATTAGGTGATGGAAAGGTCGGAAAATTACACTACATATACAAAGTCCGTAATATTTGTGATCGAGGTTGGAAGTTCATTTGAATCTCCTTCGTTGGATATGTATTTATAATAAATGTTGAATCTCCTGGGCCTCTTGGTGTGCTTCTCTCTTTATTTTTTGAATCCTCTTACTGAAAATATCGACGTTATCATTATTTGTTATGTATGTATAGTAGAAACTAATTCATTTGTGTTCTTTATATAAAATTGCTTCTTTATATTTTAAATCTCCTTAGAGAAATAACTGGCTCCACTATATAGATTGAGTTATCTGATACATGTAACATGAGCTAAGTAAAGGTAATAACAAGTACTCTTTGATAATTGAAGTGTCTACAAACTGACTCGAACATGATCGTTATAAAAAAAAAGGTCCAAATAATGGTGGGGAGAGTACTTTAGGCAGACATTATGTTAGATGATTGATGGTAATATTGTAAAGGGTACAAGATGGTCCTATATTTTTGTCATTCCAGGCTGTTTTTTTTTAATAATATAAAAAAAAATATTGTTTTCAGCAACATATAAATAAAACTAATTTAAACTGAATTTGTACAAACAATTGTACTCTCTTTCACACCACATGATCATGTCATGAACTTCTAAACTGCTACCACATGATCATGTGATCATATCTTATACTGTTTTTATAGTCATATATAATCATTATAGTATAATTTTTCGATGAAAGGATTGATCGCAAGAATTTCTTGTGAACTCCAAGCTCTGTTATCACATGATACTTTTGTAAGCAGTCGAACACCTTATTTTTCTACGTTTTTTTCATGTAACGATAAAGCTAAAATAAGTTTATGTGACATCTTGATGACTATTTAATAACTATATGTTATTAATCACGGAGCCACATGTAAGTAGAAGAATTATATGTCTAGATAACACACGAACAAATTAAAGAGATTCAATATTTGCTATATATATTGTAATTTTTTTGATGAAAAAGATTCAAATGGTGAATCTTGTTGTGTTACGCTGACTCCACCTTTGGCTATGTGTGTAGTTCAAAGAAGAATTGAATTACAAGAGTTTATTATACGCAATCTTACCGGGCAAATATGCATTTATGACTTTTTGAGGAGTGCAAGACACATTTTGTTGTTTCTATTGAAAAGGGTGAGTGCAATTGTCTTATTCAAACAAAAAAGTGACATCAAAACTTTACATTTTCAGCAACCATATCAAATAATTTTCTTTATGGAATAAAATAGGGGATAAAAAACACTTATTGTTACCTTATTTGTTCCAATTTATCACTTTTTAAGTGTGTCTCTTGAATATTTTTGTTTCATTTTACTTATTCTGGTGGTGGGTAGGATGCAGTGGCGTACGTAATTTTTTTAAAAATTAATAATGTCAAAATTTAAAAAGGTAAACAAATATATATATCACTAAAATGATAAATGGCAACGTTTCTTATATTTAAACAAAATAACATTTTCATTTTATTGATTATCTATATATGTACATAGTGATTAAATTCAACGAAGCAATGTCCTGTGACGCCGCTTGGGTCATGGTATATCTGCCCCGGTGATGTAAGCCAGATAAAAATTAATAACCGTTGCATTTGTAATAATATACACAAAATGTGATTACATAATCATTGAGCGGTGTGACATGATAGTTTTGACTCCTCAATTTTTAACCACATGCCTCAAATTTCTTTTTTTGGAGTGAAAAAACCATTTGATAGAAAGTGAGTCAACTAGACGTGAATCTGAATTACTTGAGCTAATAGACTTATACGGAGGACTATGGAAAATGTACTTAGATGGTATCGCTCGTTAAGACGGAGTTGAAGTAGTCATCTTTCTTACTTTTGAAGAAGGACGAATTCTGAGTGAGAAGTCGTATTGAACCAATCCAATCAGCAATTTCTGTCAAGTCTTTTTGAATTGTAAAAACAAACAACAGAATCAGAAGAAAACTTTCTTTACGTTATGAATAACCAATAAAAAATTACACTATATCTTAGGGGACTTTTGCATTTTCTTGCTCCTCCGTCTCTTTATGTCCTAACGAAGACAGAGGAGACGAGGGGCAAGAAAAAGAAGAAGAAGCAACAGAAGAATAAGAAGTAATTGAATTATCCGAATTAGTACTCGGAGTAGTAGGAATAACAAGTTCCATAAGCATATCGACGAAAGCACCTAAAACAAAACCATGATTTACTTCACCATTTAATTTCAAATAACATGCTAATAATTCTTGTAAATTATCCCAATCTTTAATCCCTTGACTCTCAACCATTTCCTTCATTGATTTCTTAAAATCCAAATAAGGATCTTTTGATTCCATAGCCAAAATTACACTCTCTTTAAATGGCAAATCATTTTCTTGATTTTCCTCTTGTGGTTCTTGATTTGGTTCTTGAAAAATTGAACTTGTAGCCACTTGTTCAAAAAATAGCCTTTCTGATCTAGCCCCTTTTATGATTTCTTCATGGGATTCTATTGAAATGCTATTGGTATCTAATGATGAATTTGTGGAATAAGATTGTGAGGTTCCAATTCCATCAAAAGGATCAAAGAATACTGAATTTATAGTTTTGAAAATGTTGTCATCACCTCTAAAAGATAGAGTCTTGGAATGTGTACAAGATGGCCACTGCCAAGTGGCTAGCCCTATTTCTTTTTTCTTGAAAATAGAAGAGATCTTCAATTTTTTGGCCATATTTGTAAAAGTTTTGAACTTGGGATTTTTTGATTTTGGGATTTTTTTTTTCTAAGTTCTTGATGAGTATAGTGTTTTAATGGAGTTTTGTTTTTTTAGATGAAAACTTGTGAGTTTTGAGTATATAATGAAGGGGAGAGAGAGG